AACTCTAAGATATACCCACTTGTATATTGATGATGATTATTAAGGATATCTAGAAGAACTCTAAGATATACCTACTTGACCAATTCATATTTCGGGTTAAAACGTACGTACGGGATCCAGACCGGATATCACCCACCCGACAAATCATTGTTCGGTTGGTACGTAATCCACATGACTCATAGGGTGGATTATCGATTCTTGTGTTCTGCATTAAACTATTTATAGTTTAAGGGCCTGGTTAGAATTACTGCCTTAGACAAGGAATTGCTAAGAGCTGAATATAAAATGATGTGGCCTTAGATTAAGAATAATTTAAGAGCATTATTGATATATTGAATATCAAATGACTTGGAATAAAATATTGAAAATATTATGAATGTTTGAACCATATATTGGGTGCATGATATCAAATGGTTGATTATGAATTGAGATTCAATTTATGTGGATGTTCGAAGCTTTAGATATGCTTACTCAGCTTCACCGCTGAGCGTGTAGTGTGTTTTATTTGCTACACGCAGGTAAACAGAAACATTAATATGATCCTGGCGGCAGATGGGGTGAGATTGTCAGGATGGATGTGACAAGTTTTGAAATAATTTATGATATGTCAATATTAAATTCGCTTCCGCAATATTGTTAAATACTCCGTACTATATATGTTATGAAAAATATTATTGAGATTAATAAAGTGTGTTTGAAAAGTTTTAAATTTTACGATTACCAAGTTAAATACTTTAGTCTGAATGGGGCTGCAGACCTGGACGGATTAGGGTGTTACAGTTTGGTATCGGAGCAAATGGTTTTAAACACGATCTTCGGATCAATGTTTGATTTAAAAATATATATTATATATTTTGGGTAAAAAAATATTGTCAATCACATCCACGACTCTCGCATCCCTCTGCTCCAGGAAAGGTATGAGAATTTACTTAGTAAATATTGACTTGTTAAAATTCTCATTTGATAACAATTGTTAGTACTGAAATTATATCGAGCATATACTCAAGTCGAATTTTCGTATTCGGTAAAGAAACAAAAGAATAAAAAAAAATGTATAAATCTCTGATACGTTATCAACGTACGCATCGCATCGTGAATGACGAAGTTGATCTGTACCAGAAAAGTCGCACGGAAGTGAGATGAACCTGAAGAACGATTCGTGTTGATATATGTTGAGAAACATCTGTGAAGCTGATGTCAAAGATCCTCATGTGGACTCAAGGCGATCTAATCGCTGATTCAAACACGAACATTTATAATCAATAAACTCTGTTATCTAAAGTATCTGATACTATTGTTTGACTCATTAGGACGCATTATGCGATTACTTAATGTGAATTGAAATTGTTCGTTAAGCGACAATTCTTTGTAAAACATCGTTGCAGTACCATACAAGGAAAATCGACATTATCCTTAGTATGCATTAACTAACTGAACGTCGTTGCTGTTGTCAACTTGTGATGAAGAATTCCTCAACTGAAGACCAATGATGGTAACCTTATAGAGGTGAAAGCAAAGCTGATTTCTAAACCGACCAAGTTCATCTCGAATATATATACAAAAACATCTCAAGTGTGAAGTCTATTCGTGCGATACCCAAAAAGAAACATCTAAGCTGAAGGAACGTACAGAAAGTATGTCACCCCTCTGATATGAACTTCCTTATATTTCACCGTTCCAAGAAATTGAAAACTCTGTCAATCTTGATCCTCGAGAGGACCAATATTCGTAACTCTGTATTGAATATGTTTCCGTTAAAAAAAAACCTTAACTATGAAGATTGCCTAAGAAGGAATCATCTGACAAAGTGTTTCCTCTATCGGAGAGTATCTGTTCTGTTCAAACGTGAATAAGGAAGAATCAATGAGACTCTATATCAACTACTGTCAGTTGAACAATTCGTTATCCTTTACTTCGTGTCATGACTTATTTGATCATCTTAGAGGATCCATTGTGTTCTATAAGATTGACTTACGGTCAGGATACTAACTATTCTCTGTTAGGAGACTTGAACAAATTGACGATCAAGAATCGCTACTCCTTACTTTGAAATGGACTCATTTGTATTAGCTATTAACATGAAAGATCACGACGTGGCACACCAACAGTGAAAGACTGAAGAATGAAGAAAATGTAGCTCGCACTAGCCATACAGCCTAGGAGAATATTTATGGATAATATCATTGCAACACGAGATACAACTTGGATTACGTGTAGAAAGTTATAAATGCAATTCCAAGTCTACTCTTCCGGGATTCACAAACTCATCATAACTAACCCCAGGTCCCGGGAAAGCTTTAGCAAACTCTAACTTGTCTAAAAGCTCGTCAACAAAGAAAGAAGAAATAAAAAGTTTCCTCTGACTGGAAGCCATGAAGTTTTGCCTCACAGCATCATCTAAGAATTTGAGAAGGTTATTGAAATAACCGTCAATGTTTAAAAGACCAATGGGTCTATTGTGTAACCCTTTAGAAGCCCATGAGATCAAGGTGAACAAACCTTCCATAGTGTCAACTCCTCCGGGAAGAATGATGAAAGCTTCCACGGCATGATTCATCTCAAAATATTTGTAGTAATTGCTGGAAATTGTGTGCTCTACGCCGTATGTAGGGTTGTAGACTCGTCGTGTTGCTATGTACCCAGGAATGAAACCTCTAAAGAGACCACCATTGGTAAAGACTGTTGAAGCAACAGCTCCTTGTAGGCCAACGTTGCCTCCTCCATAAGCAAGACTAATTCTTCGCCTTATCAATTCTCTTCCTAAATCTAATGCAGTAGCCATAAACTTTGGATTTCTACCAAGAGAATGACTGACAAGAAGACCAACGAATCTTATGGTGTAAGGAAGTGTTTGAGAAGTTCCTTCCATAATGTGAGAATGTGAGATACTCTTCCCATAATTGTGATATATATAGTCTCTAGAACCTGACCATTGATGGAAAAGTAATTATCACCAGCCAAAATACGTACAGTAAAATGGATTCAAATTACCTGCAGACGAGAACGTACTCGCTAATACTATAGTATGCTGAAGATATGACGTATTGAGACTCTTGAATAGTTTGATTCGCTGTGCTGAAACACGTTCAAATCCGAGACGAAAAGTCAAAACGGCTATTTCCTAAGACAACGACCTCTTGAGTAACTTCCAAAGACTGAAACATTGAAGGAAGAAAACCTACTATTAGTAACGGTAAATTGCAAATGCTATCTTGATAACTTATGACTCATATCCTTGAATTACTCAAACTTGATGTGTTAACTACACCCTTGAAACATCCCGCTTGATCAATCTTGAAAAGATTGAATTCCATTCTTTGTATCAAAATAATAAAACCACGATTCTTCATTAAACAAAAAGATGTTTTATGATACCGATCTTTGAAAACTATACCTTGTGGAATACGTGACTCGATCACAATAGTAAAACTACCTTGACTTGAACATTATGCTGAACCTCTCTTTGTGGACCACAAAACAATCAATACAATTACGTTATCTCT